GAAAAGAAAAGAAAGACACAGGTTTGTTTTCCTCCTTTCCTTCTCTCTGTCTTAAATAACACCTTGATTTTAAATATCAACTTTATTGATTATAATGCACAATTTAATGAATTTTGAGAAACATCTAGATCTGTGTATCACCACTATCAAAGACAATGTAAAGTGTATTTCTGTCACTCTCAAAAATTCTCTCTTGTCTTTTGCAGTCAGTCTCCTCCTCCAATTTCTGAAGCAACTACAACTTTTTTTTTCTGAGAATTTCATAAAATTGAAATCAGGCAGTCCACATTATTTTGTGGCAGGTCTTTCACTTACCACAATTGCAAGATATTAATCCATGTTGCTACTTCATTAGTAGTTCATTTGTTTTAATTCATAACCAGTAGTCTACCAAAGAATATACCACAACTATCATTAACCTACTAGTTGATTACTATTTTGATTATTTCAAACTTCTTCTGACCACTATGAATTAAAGTTCTACAATCATTTGTATACACATGGAGTTTTTGTTTTCCATTTGCTTGGGTTTTGGGGGGTGTTTGGGGGTGGTTTTTCTTATTTTCTGTTTTGAAACAGGATCTCACTAGCACTCCAGGCTGGCCTTGAACTTGAAACAATCCTCCCTCCTCAGTCACCCAAGTGCTGTGATTACAGACATGCATCCCCAAGCCTGGCTGTATATAAGTTTTTGTGTGACTACAGCTATATTTTAAATTTTTATTTTATTGGTAATTTGAAATAGACATAATGATCACATTAGGCATAAGGACTTTGTGCCACTATGACATGTATCCTGCTTCTTCTTTCCCATTCCTTTCCCCTCCCTTCTTCCTTTCACCCCCTCTCCCTCCTTATTTACAAAAGCTTTGTTTCCATTTTTCTTCTCTTCTTTTTTCTTACCCCTTCCTTCCTTTCCCCTCCTCCTCCCTTGTTCCCCTTTTCATTTCAACATTTTCTTCCCATTTCCCAATATCTATGTGCATTGTGATCCTCATTTGCACTTTTGCTTTCTCATACCGGAGAAACCATGCAATCTGATTTATTTCACATAAGAGTATGGTCTCCTGCTGTATCCATTTACCTAGAACGGTCTCACACTTATCCATCTGTATGGCAGAGTAGTACTCCACTGTATTAAAAAAAAACAAATCTTTTTTATACATTCATCAATTGATGGGCATTTGGGCTGATTCTAAGCTTCAGCTGTTACAAACAGTGCCACTAGAAACATGAGTGTGCATGCCTCACGTGGTATGATCCTTTTAATTCTTTTGGGAAGATACCAAGAAGGGAATAGCTGAGTTGACTGGAACTGCTAGTCTTAGCTTTTTGAGGAATCTCCACATTGATTTCCACAGTGGTTGCACCAGTCTACACTCCCATCAGTAGTGGAAAAGCATTATTTTTTCACACTCAAGCCCACCAGTATTAATTGGTGGATTTTTTTCCAATTTGCATCTCTTGAGTAACCACTGGTGTTGAACATTTTTTCATATATTGATTTGCCATTTCTACTTCTTCTGCAAAGTATGTAATCATTTCAGAAACTCATTTTTGTGCTGGATCTTTGAACTTGAGGAGTCTGGGGTTTCTGAGTTTTTGTGTAATAAAAGGACTAGATACTAGTCCTTTGAGGAATAGTTAGCAAATTTTTCTCACTCTATGGGTTCTTTTTTCAGTGTGTTGGTGCTTTCTTTTGCTATGTAAAAGATTTTTAGTAAGATGAGATCCCAGTTGTTGGTTATTTTTGATAGTTCTTGTGTAATCAGGAGTTGGTTCATAAAATTTTCCCCTATATATCTATGTCTTCAAGAGTTTTACCTGTTCTCTTTTCCTGCAGACTTAGTGTTTCTATTTTAATATTTAGATCTCTCAGCCATTTTGATTTTAGTTTAATACATGGTGAAAGGTATGGGTCTAGTTCTAATTTTTGGCATGTGGGAGCTAGTTTTTCCAGCACCAATTATTAAAGAGGCTTTCTTTCTTCAGGTGAAGATATTTGACTACTTTGTCAAAGATAAGATGGCTGAGTATGTTTGGAGTTGTTTCTGGATCTTCTTAGTCGTTCCATTGAACCTTTGATTTGTTTTATTGTTTGGTTTGTTGGTTAGTTGATTGTTTTTCTTTTGCTTTGTTTCATTTTGCCAGTACCATGCTGTTTTTATCACAATAGTTTTGTAGTGTAGTTTCAAGTCAGGAATTCTGATGCCATCTGCTTTGCATTTGTTGTCCAGAGTTTCCTTTGTTCTTCTAGGACTCTTACAGTTACTAATGAATATTAGCAATTCTTTCTCCAATTCTGTGAGAATGGTGTTGGAACTTTGAATGAGGTTGTAATACAAATAACAGTTTTTAAAATATGGCCATTTTCACTATAATGGTTCTTCCTACTCAAAAACAAAAGATTCTTTACATTTTCTGATATTTCCTTGATCTCTTTTTTTAAGAGTACGGCAGTGTTAAACACAAAGGTCATTTACTTCCTATGTTACATTGATTCCTAGGTATTTCACTTTTTTGGATGTGATCATGAAAGGTGTTCTTTCCGTATTTCTCTCTCAGTGGGTTTGTTATGCACAGGAAGGCTACTGATTTTTAAATATTGACTTCATATCTAGCTACACCATTGAACCTAGTTATTAAATTTAAAAGTCTTTCCATAGAAGTTTGGAGATCTTTTGGTAGAGTGTCATGTATCCTGAAAATAATGATAATTTAATGTCTTCCTTTCTTATCCTTATTTCTTTTATTTATATTTCTTATCTAATGGCTCTTACTAATGTTTACAAAACAACATCGAAGAAGAGTGGTGATAGTGGGCATCATTGTCCTGTTCCTGATTGTAGAGTGAAAGCTTTTGGTTTTTATCCATTTAGTTTGATGTTGGCTGTGGGTTTGTCATAGATGGTTTTTATCACGTTGGGGTAAAGATCATCTGTTCCAACTTTCTGGGTTTTTTACCTTAAATAGGTGTTGGACTTTGTCAAATACTTTTGCTGCATCTATTTGGGTGATCATATGGTCTTTGTCCTTGGCTCTACTAATATGGTGTACTGCATCTATTTATCTGTGTATACTGAAGGAGCCCTATTTGATCATGATGTATAATCTTCATGATGATTTGCTGCATTCTGTTGCCAGTATCTTATGAAGGATTTTTGTGTCCATGTTCATTAAGGAGATTAGCCTATAGTTCCCTTTTTTAGTTGGATTATTCTTTGGTCTTTTTATTATTGTAATGCTTGCTTTCAGGACTAAATTTGGAACTATTGCTTTCCTTTCCATTTCATTAAATGTTTGAGGGTTAGTGACATTAGATCTTCTCTAAAGTTCTTGTAGAAATCAGCAGTGAGTCTGTCAGGGACTGGGCTTTTTTGTTGATATGTTTTTAATTACATCTTAAA